TGGGGTTTAGGGCTGAGGGTTTAAGGCATCCGAAATCCTAAACCTTGTGGGGTGAAGGTAGCCAAGTGATGAAGATTTGGGGTACCAAATCATGTAGCGGGTAGTCTTTGTGCCTCGAAGAATTTCTACAAAGCAGATAACTGGACCCTCAAGTATAGACTCCTGCAGTCTATCTTCTGGGTTCTCCGAGTTGCTACGCCATCAGCTTCGAAACCGGATGGTTCAGTTTTTACGGTAGAAATGATGACAACAACAAGATATCGAATGTTTTTTAATGCAGTAGGTATGTGATGTGAAGGGATGAAATTCAGCCTACTGCCAACACAAAAAGACGACCAGAGGCCCTAAAGCCGCCTTAAATGTCAGATTTGGTAGTGTTTGTGTTGAGGGAAACCGACGGACCCGAACCTTCAGTCCCGCTGACATCTGGCCCTGGCCCACGGGTCGTATATGCCCTTCAGGAACCAGAAACGACAATGAGGCTATATGCCCAGAGAGCCCAATACCCCTTAATTTATTTGCCTACCTTCAATCATAATAATAAGGTCTTCCTAATTCGAGGTATATTCCGGAATTTCGGGGGTATTGGGATTCTGAGCGTGTACCTTGCGAAACCCGTCTATACGCCAATGCAAATGAACCTTATGACTCAGGGATCGCATCTTCAGCCCTTGATCGAAAGCGTTTCCGCAGACCCTACACCCGGAAACCTCCTGACAAAAAGCCCAAGCAACCCACAGCCACGAAGCTCAAACCCTACAGAGCCAAAACATCCCCAAAGCCTACCTGTGGCCCATAAAAACTACCCTTTTAAGGACTTATATATAGAAACCATAATAGGGAACCCTAAAAAAGGTAGGTTTTTTCGGCCACAGGTAGATCTTGCCAGTCTATCAGCTAACGCCCACAGATCTGGCATGTCAGCTTTGGCCTCGCGCAGGAAGCGTTCTTCATCGCCACTAAAGGAGGCAGCTGTTTGGCCAGGGACTTGGGGTTCAGGGTTTAGGGTTTAGGGTTTAGGGTGACTTGGGGATTGAATTATGGCTTTCTGGGGGGCTGCGGGTTGAGAGTCTATATTGTGCCAAAATCACAGGGCACTTGCCTAAGGAGCGCGGATTGTGGTCTGTCTCATTGAAGAAGGATCCAGCATGAATTCAGCGCATACCCCTCTTATCCAGAAGTTGAAGACGAGTAGGTGCAGAAACAAAAAGCAATGGAGACTGGCGTCGGAATATACCACGCGCTTGCTGTCACCCCGCCAGTGGCTACATGGACGGTCAGCCCCCAAAGACATGCGTGCTGCTCCCTGCCGTGGCGGCAAGTTCTTCGATCTCGACATCAGTCTTCGCATTTGCGACCGGGAACACTAGCTTTGATCGCAGGCATTACATCCTTTGGTGTGGTCGCCACAAGCACCCACCGTGATAAGAAGCGGAGCCTTCGAGCTGGTGCCACCACCACACTGCTTGTAGATGCAGATGTACATCAGATACACGAGATCCAGTCAGCGATAGAGGAGCTTTCATCGAAGGGCGGGCCCCCTTCAGTGACGTTGTTTGCGGCACCAGAGCGGGTTGACAACAAGTCTTGGGGGCGTTTCCTGCAGAAACACCGCATTACGTTCAAGCCAGTAGACAGGGTCGGGGGACGCATAGATCCAAACGATGAAGCTATTCTGGCGCATGTGGGCCATCTGCTGGGTCAACCTGGCCTGAAACGACTGGCACTGTTGACTTCTGACACCGACTTTCTCGAACTAGCTCTGCAAATCTCAGCAAGAGGCCTACGCACCCTAGTCATGATTCCGGAAGCCATGCGGGGCACCATACGCAAGTACACTGATGCTGGCATCGAGGTGTCGAGGTTGCGCAGAAGAACTGGAAGTGTTACATACACTGTGAGAGCGACGCTGCACTCTGACGGCACAGGCACTGCAGACAGATGCAAGCCCATAGCACGACTGCCAGACTTCCGAGAAGAGGTGGAAGACCTTCTCGCCTTTTTAACCGGCTTGGGCTACAGATCAGCTTCAGGCTCCAGGCTATTGCCTTGCATTGCTAAGTGCTGGTTTGCAAACTCCCTTGGTCCCCTCACCGTGTTTCCAAGCCAATCTGCTGTGATGGCGCTCCATTCTGCGATCAAGCTGCCTAGATATTGGACACCGAATGCTCACAACTTGGCGTTTGTGTTTCCATGCACCGTGGGAAAGGCATCGAAGAAAAAACAGTTGGAGCTTGGAGGCACCCTGGCCTTCAGAATATTGCAGGGAGGTGGTCCTGCTATGCTTCATGATTCAGACCGATTGCCATTGCAAGTGCTGAATAGGCTGGGCTATCTTGACAATGATCTGAATGCGGATGTTCATGAAAGTCTCCTGGTTTTCGTCAATTCTAGCTTAAACAAGCAACTGCTCCGACAGATGGATGCTCTTCCCAATTCTGGTCAACAGGTTGATGATATATGCAATTCATTGCGGCGCATCTTCCTTTCCAGCCGGGGCGATGGAAGCTGGCAGCTAGCCCCCAAGGATGGACTCGTGCGCAAGCTCCTGGTGAAGAGTGGTGATTTGGCAGCCATGACTGCAAATCGAACCGAAGTGCTAAGAGCCATGCAAGTCTTCAGCAGCAAGAATATGTTGCCACGTATGAAGACATACAACGGCTTCCTCTGGCAGATCATGCGCTTTGCCAATATGGACGATCCTTCGAGGCGAGATGTCATCGAGTTCTAATGCACGAAACCGGTGGCAGTTTCATCGCCCTAGAACCTAAGTAGACTGTAAACCCCATAAACTTTCAAAAGTGCAGAGGCCAGCAACAATTACGTGAACAAGCATTTCACGCATTTGAAGACTTGGATTCAGAGCATTGCGCAACGAGGCCAGCAACCATCCTTTGAAGCGGTTTCGGGTAAAGGGTTCAGTATTGCTTCCGACAGAATACGAAGACGGCTCATACCCTTCCTGGAGCCTTTTGGAAGATTGTTGTGCTGGTGATCTCTCCAAAGTCCATGTGGAAGCCCTTTTCCACGGGTTCAAGTGCCATCAAGTACTGTACTTGTCCCTAAGGGTCCATGTGCTCATACAGTATATACATTGGCCTTAATGTAGTCCCTATATAGGTACTTTAGGGCCCATGTATATGCTATATGAATACATGGACCCTTAGGCTGAACAATCAGATGACAGTCCCGCCAGAAATCGACCCGCTACCATCCTGCACTTTTTGTCGGCACTTTGGACCCTTAAATTTCCAAAGGGTCCAAAGGACCGATAAAGTAGAATGTAGGGCTTCTTCCTTAAGAATGACTATTATGATTTGGGGAAATATCCCCCATAACAGTCCATAGGGCCCTTTGGGATTAGATACCCTTAGCGACCCGTCTCAAAGCCCGCGAATACCGTCTTTAGAATCCCTTCTAGGATTCCTTCGACAAGTAGTATGATAAGTCATAAAAGCATGATACGATGCTTATCAAGCCCTAGGCCCCAAACCTTACTTGGGTAGTTCTCTAAATTAGGGTCCCTTTTGATGGTCCTTTTAAGAAGGTTGCCGTGCTATGTTTGGGACCTAAAGAAAGGACCCAACTTAGAGAACTACCCGCATAGGGCCCCGAGCATACCCTTACAGAAACCCTTTAGAAACCCTTATGGATCCCTTTAAGGAGCCCTGTTAAAAGGAACCTGTGGTGTTGGCAAAGAAAACCGCTGCGAGTGAATCCTTGAGCCGAGGCCTACCCTGCTCTGGAGGCATCCCGGCTTGGGATCCAATGCCCACGGTTTAGGGTTTTGGGTTGTGGGTTTAGGGTTTAGGAGCCGCAGCTTCTGTCCTCATTGGGAGGTGGTGCGTTCGGCCAGGTCTGGCACGCACGTTTGGGTGAGCAGGGCTTGGCGATGAAACAGTAGCTGTAGCTGCGGGGGGGGGGGGGGGGGGG